TGAAACATCTTCATTATTAGGAAAACTCATCTTGTTCTTGTTTATGATAAGCGTCAAGTGTTGATCCACTAGATCGTAAAAGTCAGATATTGACTTCCCACCCTGCCTTAAGATGCTCAGCTCGTTTTCGAGCACTTGTAGTGACCGTTTGTCACCGAAACACTGGTCTAGCCTAGCTATGATGGCCCTACAATTTAGTACCGTGTTGAAAGAAGAAAGTATGTCATTGGCAGTTCCTGTGATTTTGTTTCTTAAAATGCCAGTCGCAATATAGTTATTTTCCTTATTCTCTAGGTAATAACTCATCGCAAAATGAGCAGCTTCCCTCCAGGCAGGGTATGCTTTAATATCACCTTTAAATTCGGGTACGGATTTAATCAGATCTAAAGATGTGCCCCTGTAGTTGCCTAATGCAACAGGTTGATAAACTTCGACCTTAGGTGGTCTAAGTCCTTGTATTTGTTCGCTTACCCCCTTAGTTGGTTCTGCCACTCCTCAGTCAATGCTCCTACCGAAGCAGACACTAGACTAACTATTTCCTCTTTCGATATCATGTTCCCCAACCCTTAATAAAGCAGTCAAGAAAAAAAATGAACAAATAGTCCTTCTCGAAATTTAATAAGCACACTAATACTTTATGATATTCTTGCTCTTTACATTTATTGGGAGACTTCAATCTTATTCTTTTAATTTTTCTCAAAAATGATTAAACGCTGTACATGCTTGGAAATTCATTGGTACTTACATAAGTAGCATCATAAGTAGATATCTCCTATCTTAATATTTGGCTGATGTACAATGTGGACTTCCTTCTAATTAGATGTGAGTTGCTTCTTTATGTTTGATATTTGGCTGATGTACAATGTGGACTTCCTTCAAATTGGATGTGAGTTGCTTCTTTATAGTTGATATGGGCTTTCTCTGAATTGGATGATTACTTGGCTCTTAATGGGCTGATCTTTCACTTCAAATGTTTTTTATTTAAATTCAGTGTCAATTTTCACGTTCTTTGCTGTTGCGATTCTTTAGTGTTGTTTAATTATTTTTTTTATGTCAATTTTATTGTTACCTCCCTATACTGGGATTTTTTTTAACCGTTTGTTGGGCGCCAGTTATTACCTCGATGAAGCAAAACTCGAGAATTATGACCGTACTATGCGGTCGTGGAAGCAATTCTGTTTATTGCAATTCATTTCATCCCTCAACAGAGGCGCAAAGCTTAGTTCAATACAATTTCGTACCCATGCGAGTTGCATATGTCAGCATTCTCTCATGGGTTTGGTTAGTGATACAAATAAACAACTACTTATGTTACATCCACGCGCAGGAGGCTATGGTCTTAGACTTGCATTCATTTAGCTACGCGCAGGCAGCTTAAGTAATGCGAGAATGCATAGTAAGTATTTCACAATAAACTGATATGAGGTTAGGACTAACAGGTTGGTTAACTTATTAATAGTAGCTTGCCCGCTGTTGACTTACATACATAAGTTAACACATTTCGCATATTACCCAGCTACACCATCAGCATGGTTCCTCAAAATCTGGGTATCGTAATATTGGATGAGTACTAATTATTATTTTCAATTTTTCGAAAGCTTCTATATAAGTCGGGTTCTTTAGATTAATCCTTGCTCCTTTCTTGAAATATTTAATAATCGGCTGTTCTATTTTCCTATAGGCTTTCACGAATTTTCGATAATAACTTGTTAATCCTATGAAAATTATAATTTGTTTCTCGGTTTTTTGTAGTTCTAAATTTTCAATAACTTTGATTTTATTAGGATTCAGTTTCATATCGTCTTTTGTTAAGATGTGAGCTAAAAATTATGTTTCTTTCCTCATGAAGTTGCATTGATCTATTTGAATTTTTAAATTTTTATTTTCTAACACTTAAAATATATCCCCGATTGCTTTAACATGTTCTCTTAATGTTGTACTAATAATAAGAATATCGTCCAAATATATACTACACACGTTTTATTTATAAAATCTATCAAAATTTCATTAGTTAGACATTGGAAAGTTGCGAGTGCATACTTCAATCCAAACGGCATTCGTATGAATTTATACAGACCATGAGATGTAACAAATGCAGTTTTTTTCCGATCTTCTTTCTTTACAAAAATTTGGTGGTAACCTTTCGCTAAATCTGGTATTGTAAAATATTGAGCTCTTCCTAGCTTATCTAGTAATGAATCGATATTCCGTAAGGGATGTTTATCATCAATAGTTATTTGACTTAATTTCCTATAGTCTATTACTATTCTGAATTTTTTCTCTGCTGAATTATCCATCTTTTTTGGTACTACTTGAATATCTCAAGTAACTTTTTTGTATAATTCCTTGTTCTTCCATTTGTCTCCTTACCTCTATTTCGTGTTGAGGTGGATATCCTTACGATTTTGAATTAATTTGTTGTTGAGTTGTGGTTTTTATTTCATGTTGAATTTCCGTAGTATTTGTTAATTGATCTCTTTCTTTATATAGTAAATTTTTAAATCTTTTCAAAAGTTTTGTTACCTCACTATATTCTTCCTTATTTAAGTGATTCAGTTTTAATCTGTCTAAATTCAGATCTGACATTTCTAGTGTATAAATTTTGTTAAAATCGTAATTTTTTCAAGTAGTTTACGTTCTTATTGATTTAGAATTGTTTTTGGGAAATCCTTTATATCGCTGTTAGTTAAGCTAAAACTTGCTTCTGTATCTATCAAAGTTTCGTAATTCTCACCTGGAATTACTATTTCTATTTTTGGTAGCCAGTCCATTTCTTAATTCGTTTGAGTTTTCTCCTAGCTTTGCCTATCCTAAATTAAGCGATTTTGGCTAATTCGCGGATTAGGGTGTCCTGCGACCTGGAGGTTGCTCAGACTTGTTTCAAGGTTATCGATTTATATAGGTTTGATCTGACCTTGCCTAAATTGATTCTGACGGAATTGCCCTGAATTCTGTCTAGGGTTTCCTGTCTGTGATCTTTTCACCGAGACTTTTTTATAATTGTTCTTATTATTTCTATTATTTCCCGTATAATTGTTATAATTATTTTCCCAGTAATTATTACTATTTTTTATTTTTTCTATACTGTCCAGAATTGTTATTTTTATCTTCATTTTTATGTTTATGTTCATAGTTACTATTCCTGTAATTTTCATTCCTTTTGTCCTGATTTCTACTGATCCATGTGTTTTCTTTCATAGATTTTCTGTACTCTGGTCTAATACAGCTATTCTCAAATCTTCTACTACTCATTATTATCAAAATGTTATTTAAAATTACCTCATTATAAATTTTATCTAAAAGAACTCCTTGTGTCATTTCGTTTATAGTGTTTACTATTATACTGTCCATATTACTTAGGTCGATGTAGTAATCGTCGTTATAGTATACAGTTAGTTCGTACGTCTCGTATTTATTGTTTTGCACCTCAATCATCAGTTTACTTACCGTGTTGACTTTCAAATCACCCACTCTTCTATAAAGTTGGTGCAGCTCCACTTCAGGCCTGTATCTAAGTTTGAATGTTTCCTTAATCAATTGCCACTTGTGCGGATCTGGGATGTTAATGATCGTGTTCTTCGCCTGACCCTGAATAGTCCTATAAAAGAGTGTTCGTACAGCTTCCTTTTTGGTTTCTTCATTGGTAATTGTTGATGAAAAGTATTCTATGCAGCTGAAGAAGGAGTGTATCGATACCTCTCCTGTTTCGGTGAATGTTGGCAAGTTGTTTATAGTTTTCCTCAAGGTTTCTCTATCTGCGATGTCTGCTTTATTTTTTAATTCCAGGTATGCTAGTCTCATATCCTCTAGCTGTTGTTCCCGTCTAGCAAGCTCTCTTACCTAGCTGCATTTATTGTTGTTGAGCCTGTAACTCGACCATTCTACTTCTATCAAAACTCTGTTGTCTTCTTTGTCTCCGAATTTTCGCAATTTGATCGTATCAGCATAGACTCAAGGTTAAGTCTGCTTGTGGTGTCCTTTTGTTTTTGTTAAAAAATTAAAAAAAAATAGTAATTCTATTTTGCGGTGTCTTTTTTTCTTGTATAAAAATTCATTGCGCAAAGATTTTTTGTGGTGTTTTTTTTTTTTTTAATTCAATGCACAAAAATTATTTCTGTTAGGATTTTATTCTCTGGTGTCTGTTTTATATGTTTGTACACTGTTGATTTGTGGTGTAATCAAAGGACATATTTTAAAAATTCACTTCACCAAATTATCCTTTTCACTGAACGATATTTATTTATTTTTTTCGGTTAACGAGTATCGTTTCACTGAATCCTTTACTTTTTTTAAGGATCCTACCGACTGCGCCAAAAACGTAAGTCCCCGAAACGGTTATTAAAAAAAAGATCAAACGATTTGTGTTATTCGAAGCCAGTGCCAAATTAAGACTGACTATTCTTTATTAAAAATCATAATATAACTTGACATTGTTTAATAAAGTGCTTACATAGCTGTTTTGATAGTAGGATCTAGTGCGATTCAATTCAAACACATAAATTTGAACTGACACTTAGTATCCAAATTAATTTCCTTGCAAGCACATGAACTTGAAGGAAGCCGCCTAGATAGTAATTAAAACTCTTAGTTTAGTCACTACAAAAGACGACTGAATTTTCTTTATTTCTGGCTGTCTTTATATACGAAATTTCTTAACATAATTAATTAAAAAATGCTATTGATATATGCTGATATAAATTAATTGTAGTGTAGGTCGGTTACTAGTAGACATTAAATGCTATGTAAGCAAAATAAATAAATGTGTTAAAGAAACTTAAAAACATTGCAAAAGTGAATGAACCAATGGCCAATGAACTAAAATAAAGAAAATTAACTGTAACAATAAAATAGTCCAAATATGTGATATAATAATGCTGTATAAGCAGTTTAAAACTTATAAATAAGTAGGTGTGCTTGATTTTTGTATTTATTGTTTGTTTTGGTAATTAAATCTAAAGTATGTTTATAGAACAATAAAAAAAAAAATATTTATGTATGTTTTAACATTCTCCGCCGCGTTGACATTGTTCAATGATTGCGCCTGGGTTGGATGCATGTGGGAATGACTCCATTGTAACATCGATTGTTGATTGATGAGATCTTATATCTGGTGTAGGTATGAATTGAGATGGCTTCTTAAATTTTGTGTGGATCCTCCAACTCAGCAGGCCAAGTAAAATAAGAATGCAGCAAGCTAAAGATGCGTAGCTAACTGCATGATGATGTTGATTTGATGAGTGAATTAATTGTGGTAGGTGTTTTAGAGTTGATTCATGCAACTGTTTTTGTATATTATCCAATTCTTCTTGATGAATCTTGTAAGAGGTGGTATTGGTATTTGTTGAAACCTTTTCAATTTCCTCTTGTCGACTTATATATTGAATGCCTTTCAATCTTACATAGGATGTATGTAAACTACTGGAAGCTGCAAAATGTCCATGTATCGTAACAAATTTGTTTTTATTACGCAGGTAGGACCAATTTCCATTATTCCGGAATTTTTAATGATGATGAGGTTGGTTTCAGATCCGCATACCATTGAAGATTCAATATCGGCTGTAGTGGCAAAGATCCATTTATTTTGATGATGTAATTGACTCCAAACTGCTGTTCCAGTAATTTTGTGAAGACGACAATTGCTAGTTGATTGGTTATTGAAGATATTGATCTCGCATTTTTTCTTGAGCTTTGACTGCTGATTTCTGCAAATATATTCATCATCGTTTGGTTTGAGGCAGCTTGAAATATCCTCTGATTTGACAAGAATATATTCTTCTCTATGTGCATCGGTAGATATGTATTCCGTTTCTGGTTGAATGGCGATTAAGGTGTCATTTTGTATTGTTGGAACTGCAACTATTTTGAACAACTCAAAAAACTGTTGGTTAACTAAGGGTATCTTCCTATAGTATTATAGGACTGTTTGCAATTCTCACTCTTTTTGCCGGAATGACATCTCTTCCATGTTCATCTGTTACCAGTTTTTTCTTGTGGGAAATTGTGCTTTCTTGAGTTATATCTTTGTCAATTATAGCATTATCATGATCTTCTGGAAACAGTGGTGCTAGTCGATGGATGGCCCGCTTGAATACCCCGGTTGGGGTTTTTATTTCAGCAACTCTTACAGCTCCGTCATCACCGAAAAATACGTTAAGAACTCTCCCTAATGGCCACTTCATTGGAGGTAGATTGTCTTCCTTTATAATGACCATATCTCCTTTTCTAAGATTGGGCATCTTTTGCCTCCATTTGTTACGTTGCTGGAGTTCTTGTAGGTATTCTTCCGACCACCTTTTCCAGAATTGGTGCTTAATATGCGAAATTAACTTCCAGTGTGTTATCCTGGATGTTTTCGAAGTTTCTGCTCTACTATCTACCTGCGAAGTTAGAGCTTCGCCGATTAGAAAATGTCCCGGCGTCAATGCATCAAGGCAATCTGGATCGTTTGAAAGAGGTGTGAGCGGACGCGAATTTAAAATAGCTTCGATTTCTACTATTATTGTCTCTAATTCTTCATGAGTAAGTGTTTCCGTTGAAACACTACGGACCAAGAGACGTTTTGCGGACTTTACTGCAGCTTCCCATAAGCCTCCGAAATGCGGAGCTCTTGGTGGAATGAAATGGAACTGTATGCCCTTGGAACTTGCAGCTGATAAATGTAGCTCTTGCGCCTTGTCCGAATATAAGGTTTCAGATAATTCCTCTAAACTATTTTTGGCTCCAACAAAGTTTGTAGCGTTATCGCAATATATATTTTGGCAGTGACCTCTGCGAGCTATAAATCGTTTAAGAGCGCCAATGAATGATTCGGTTGATAGGTCCGATACGAGCTCCAAATGAACAGCCTTTGTTGCAAAGCAGCAGAATACAGCGACATAAGCCTTTGTTGGTCGCTTGCCCCTGACCTTGTAATGGATCCAAAATGGCCCACAGTAGTCGACTCCAGAGTTGATAAATGGTCGAGCAGGAACTACCCTTGTTGCTGGCAAATTTCCCATTATTTGTTGATACAGTTGTGGTCGCGCTCTATTACATTTTATGCATCTTTGAACAGTAGACCTTGCTGTTATCTTGCCTTTTATTGGCCAGAAACGCTGTCTTATTGCGTTTAACAGGGCTTGAGCTCCACAATGTTTATTTTCTTCATGAAATGTCTTAAATAGCAATTTCACCAAAGGATCATTATAAGGCAATATCATTTGGTGTTTCGCATCCATTTGTAGCATAGCATGTTCCAACCTTCCTCCAACGCGAAGAATGCCTTCATCATCCAAAAACGGTGATAAACTGCATAGCGAGCTATGCTTATTAATCTGCTTTTCAGCCTTCAACGCGTTGATATCAGCTGCAAATTCGGATGATTGTACGGCTTGAATTATTCGACGAAGGGAGTCGTCTAATTCTTTGGAAGACACTGCTATATGTTGAGGCCGGTGTGCCTTTTGCATACGTGCATTGCTGGTGAATCTAAGCACGTATGCCAAAATTCTTTGTAACTTCCTGAATGAATTTTTGTGCTCGATCATATGTATTAGATACATGTCAGAAGCTACTATTGACGTCGTAGCTGCAGTCTTTAACTCCATGCTATTTGTTATATCCTCTTGTGGAGAGCATTTGGTCGGCCATAGTTCTTCCTTTCCATGAAGAAAAACTGGACCATGAAACCATAATCGGCATTTAGAAAGATCAGCTGGCGAGAGTCCTCGGGATAAAATGTCGGCAGGATTTTCTTTTGACTTAACGTGGTTCCATTGTTCTGGCAATGTTAAGTTTTGTATGGTGGATACCCTATTAGCCACAAAAGTCTTATATACGTTGGACCTTGATTTTATCCAGGCGAGTACTATTTCAGAATCAGTCCATAAAAACATCGGACTATTCTGAAGCATTAGGTCATTTTTCACCCTGGTAGCCAGTTGAGCTGCTACCACAGCGGCACATAGCTCTAATCGCGGTAGAGTTTGTTTTCTCAAAGGAGCTACCCTTGATTTAGCACAGATCAGACGTACAACTACTCGTCCATCTTTTCCAATAAAACAAATATAAATAGCCGCGCCAAAAGCTCTTTCCGATGCATCGGCAAACACATGCAACTGGATTTTCGTCGGGATCTCCCCACAGAATACATGTCGCGGTATCTTAAAGTTGTTGAGACCTTCCAATTCCCTTCGAAATGTTTTCCAAGTGGCACAAAGTTTTTCGGGTAATGCTTCGTCCCAATCTAATGTATGTTGCCACAGCTGCTGAATAAATATTTTTGCCTTCACCACAATCGGTGCAAGTAGGCCAAGCGGATCAAATAATTTTGCTAGTTCAGACGTAACTACTCGTTTTGATATGATTTCATTATGATCAATGTTCGTTTTTACACAAAATTGATCTGCTTGCGGCATCCAATATAATCCCAACGTCTTTATTGTTTGAGATTCGTTGAGATCCAGGTTCACTTCTCGATCGCTATGTGGTATGTCCTTCAGCAATCTTGGTGTATTGGATGACCATTTCCTTAGAATGAAGCCGTGTTGTTTCAAGATTGTTATTAACTCCTTTTGTATTTCAATAGCTGTACTTAGGCTATCTGCACCGCCGAGACCGTCATCCATATAAAAATTATCTTTCAGCATTTGTGAGCCTAATGGATAACGCTCCATGTTCTCGTTTGCAATCTTTTGTAAGCATTTTGTAGCCAGATACGGTGCTGAACGTGTCCCATATGTGACCGTATTAAGTTTGTAATAACTGACTGGATGGGATGGATCCTCTCTCCAGATAATTAGCTGATACCTTTGATCATCGGGATGTATTAAAATCTGCCTGTACATCTTTTCAATATCGGTTGTGAAGACGAATTTTGGCAATCGAAACCTTAGCAAAATAGAAAACAACTCACTTTGTACGATTGGTCCTGTATACATTAGATCATTTAACGATTGACCTGATGAAGTTTTCGCTGATGCGTCAAATACAACCCTAAGTTTTGTTGTTGTACTATCGGGCTTGAGAACACAATGATGCGGAATAAAATATTTAGGATTTGATCGGTACACACGTCAATCTTTTGCATGTGTCGTAATTGTTCATATTCTCGCATAAATTTAACGTACTGACTTCGGATATCTTCCTTCTGTAGAAGTCGGCGTTCAAGGCTCATAAATCAGTTATAAGCCATTGCATGTGATTTCCCCAATGCTGTTGGAGATTCTTGAAACGGAAGGCTGACGATGAAACGACCATTCTGATCCGTCTTAACATGTTGATTGAAGTGAGATTCGCAAAGGGTTTCTAATGGAGACATGACCTTTTCAGTTGATTCCACTTCCTCAAGTTTCCATAATTTTTCGATAGCTTGTTCCAGTGATGTTTCACTAAAAATTTTGGTGACCCCGACGTGATCCTGAAAACAGGTCTTTCATAGTAGGAACTTCCTTCGGATTCGCCAGTGATTGCATGAATCGTATGTACAGAGCGTGATCCAATTTCTTTGTGATCAATTGAATCAATAGAGCATCCCAAGACGTTGTGTCGATTTGAAGATTGTTGAGGGCTAGCATGCATTCCTTTGTAGTGTCATGCAGAGCCTTGATGGAGGCCGTTGATGAAGTTCCATTTGGTTGACTCAAAATCCGTTCTACTAGAGTGGAAACAAGAACCCGCTTATTGTTATAACGTTCTTGCAGCAACATCCATGCCGTTTTGTAATTATCCTCTGTCAAGGATAGATGACTGATTAGTTTGCCAGCCTCGCCAGACAAATTGGTTTTGAGATACCACATTTTTTGAACACTTGGAAGAGACTGTTTGTCTACCATCTCCAAGAAAAGTTCATAGAACTGACGCCACTTTAAACAATCCCCATTGAATTGAGGAATTGTTACCTTTGGTAGTGGGAGTGAACTGTGTGCTATAATGTCACTCCCTAATTGAGGTGCAATGGTCACGGTTTCGCTGCATTTGTCTTTCAAGACTGCTAGTTTTATTAAGTTGTCTTGTACCGAATCTTCCAGCATATCGTAGTTTTCTTGACTTAATCCAATTTTCGATGGATCTTCAATCTGCTGCAATATTTCATCGTAGAGCTCCGTTATTTGATTCCATAGCTTTTTTATAGTATCTTCTTTGATGCTATAAAATTGCTTCGGCTGTTCCGCTTCGATTGTGCCCAAGCCTTGCAAGTGACGACTAAGGGCACTCATTCGAGCATTTATCATTCTGACAAGCCCATCAACACGGGAAGGTATTTTGTCTCCTGCGACAACTTCAGTCGATTTCTCTCTCAAGGTGGGAACTGGCTTACTTTTGGCTGACCTCAGTTTCTTCATTTCCGCGTCTATATATTCCATTGTTGAGCTGAACTTCTCTCCAATCGTTCTATATAGATTCCGAGCAATATACGGATCATCCTCTGACAATGATGGATCATCGCGAATTCTGTTTTCTGCCTTCTCAAAATTCTGCCATAACAGCCTTAGTTCATCAAGTTTGCTCTTGTAGAACTCTTCCGTTCTCCTTTCAAGAGGTGCCTTCTTTATAGTAGAGACGAATTTTTCGAAATTGCTGCCTCTTTCTTCTTGCTGAGAAATAAGCTCTTGGACGTTTGCCATTATTGTTTGTTGATTTATCAGCGAGTAGCAGCAGTTGTTGTATGATGATTAGTTACAGGCAATTTCCTCCTGGTTTTCCTCCAGAGCTCCAAAAGGGGGGTTTTTGAAATTGGTACGCGTGCGTTACGTCCTCACACCTTGTGGATAACGTCACCAAAAAATGTTTCGGTTTAGTTACCGTCAGGATCACGTCGGGGTCACCAAAAAATTTACGACTGAATTTTCTTTATTTCTGGCTGTCTTTATATACGAAATTTCTGAACATAATTAATTAAAAAATGCTATTGATAAATGCTGATATAAATTAATTGTAGTGTAGGTCGGTTACTAGTAGACATTAAATGCTATGTAAGCAAAATAAATAAATGTGTTAAAGAAACTTAAAAACATTGCAAAAGTGAATGAACCAATGGCCAATGAACTAAAATAAAGAAAATTAACTGTAACAATAAAATAGTCCAAATATGTGATATAATAATGCTGTATAAGCAGTTTAAAACTTATAAATATGTAGGTGTGCTTGATTTTTGTATTTATTGTTTGTTTTGGTAATTAAATCTAAAGTATGTTTATAGAACAATAAAAAAAAAAAATATTTATGTATGTTTTAACAATAGCTAAGTTGTTGCTTTATTAAAGTGAGAAAATATTATGAGCTGATGACCTGGAATTATTATTATTTATCAGGCTGGCAGCTATTTGTATATGTAACTCGCGTGGGTATAATGTTACTGAAGAGTGTTTTTCTAAGAGCTGGCTTATTTTATATTTATATAAAATACATGCCAAATTATGAGATGGCCAAAAAAATAATTTATAATAATTGATACTGTATCAATTTCCATTCACGGTAACGCCTTGTCCTTCCTCATTTTTGAAGATATAAGGACCGATGATTCCACTAGCTCACTGCCGCACCAAACAATAAATATGCCATTTAATAACATGGGGGATTTATTCACAAAAACTTCACCAGAATATTGCTCTATCGAGGGGACATCATCATTATTAGTAACAGAGCAGGTGGGTGATTTACTTAGCAAAAATTGTAAAACACATCAGCCCTATTACCGTTGTCGTCGAGGAGGCAATAACGGCATTAAGGTTGTCGTTTTTGTCGATAGCGATGAATGATTGCTATTATCATTGTTGATACAACAGTCGAAGTAAGCATTTTATATTTGACATTTGGCCATGAAGAAAAAAACAGCAAAACAATTTGGAAATATTGAAGTCGTTTCCGGCACTGATCTATTAAGAATCTAGCGCTAAAAACCTCAATGCTGTGGCCATTTGGAACAACACTAGTTAAAAAAAAAAAAAAAAAAACTTTTTAATTTTTTCGAAAAATTTTCCAGATGTAGTTATTTTTACCCTGACTCCGAGAACTGATTTTCCGGATCCGAAATATAGGTATCGTTTAAAAACTTATACCTATACCTATCCAACAAGTTGTCACATGATCAACAACTGTTGAATTTAGAAAACTTTAGTTCGCGTACCCCTTAGAACAGACCCAGAAGAGAATATCTTTGTATACGTTTTTTACGCTGCCAACGTTTTTGGGTTGTTCCCAACTTTTATTTTAAACTGCCGATGTCGCTCCTATGCCTTACCGTAACACAATTTTTGAATCGAAGCGACTGCGAAGGCGACTTGCGACGACGACTGTAGAAACGACAACCGTAATTGAGCCGAATTTAATACAGATATTTAAGCTTCCGCAGATATCACATTTGTTCTTAATACCTGGTACTTTATTCTTACAAAATTATTATTTCCATTATATTTTATAAACAGAACTTTAAACTTCACAGGTTTTTACAGATTATGGTTACAATTTCCATTGTCTGTGGTTGAAATACTACTAATATAGATTAAACTTTCTATTTTAGATGCTACCTTTACTTGGGCGAATTTTCATTCTTAAAATTTCTCATCATATTTTTCCACTAATTTATTATAGTATCAGGCTGAATCTATTTGTATAAATTAACGAAAGTATGTTAGGTTGATTCGGGTTTATTTGTAAAACTGGATAACTTAATCTAAAAAGACATTTAATAAACACTAAATTTATTATAGCAACCGCTGACACTGTGCCTCGTGTGATTTTTATATTTCACTTAGTTCACTTGTTACAAAAAAGTTTATTTGTTTTTAATTTACTTTTAAAAACCGTTTATTTGAAAATAGATCGGGAGTTAAACACTGATTTCCCTCAATCGAATTTTACATTGAACTTAACGAGGTCGGAAGGACCTCGCTCAAAAAAATGTTCCTGCCGCACCAACAGCGGCAGGATTTAAATGATTACACTCGTTTGATTTAATATCCGAATACAATCGATTTATTGACTGTTCCTTTTCAATGTAAATTGAAGACTAACTAAATTACATTCTACTTATTCTAAGGTAAGCGACAACGCGCCAGCAGTCGCCCGTAGTTCCCACGATGGCCTCTGCTTAGTCGGCAGGTATGCAATGGTAATTGGGGTGGTGTCAATGACAATGAGGCGCGTGTGCATGGTCAGCCAAAAGTACACGCGCAACCAAAAGTACACGTGCAGCCAAAGAATAGTTGGGCGATTGCACAAATGCAGCGCGTGTGCAATGTCAGCAAATCTACACGCGCTGCAGGGAGAGTGGCCGTGTTAACTCTTCCCCCCTCAAAAATCTACGTCCCGTAGATGTTAACAAATGCTGGGAGGATCTGTTCCCAGTGTCCTAGGTCCGACATCTGGTAAGGTCACTCTACCATTGACCTTTTTCCAAAGGTAACCAATTGCCATTATGAGAAGCACCAAAATGAAAAAAATGGGAATTCCGCCGGCTTGAACCCCTTGTGTGAGTTGTTTGAGTCGCTTGATGTTTGTAATGCTTAGTTCATGAAGGTAATCGATGTCGACCCTGTTGCTGGTTACTCGCGTAAGAGGTTCTGCGGGTTTGCGCAGTTGGATCAACCTCCATTTTCTCAACCGTACCGTGTAGTTGAGGTCTGTTCAATCCATACTGACTAAAACCATAGTGGCTCCGTTCCCTTGGAACCATCCTGTTCCTAGCATGGCTCACATTAGAACTATCAAATCTCGTTTGAATTTGAACTGGCGCGTATTCCCTCCGAGCCAATTGATCCGCTGTGTATTGCCTACAAACCAGATTATTGACTGGAACAACCACTGTATTCCCGTCCGTCCTATGTATAGGTCGTCGTCGGAAATT